AGGTGGAGGGGTTGGGGAAGGGCAAGGAAAGCAGGTGGGGGCAGGCCTTGAGGGTCGATGGGGCCCAGCCCCAGAGCGGTTGGGGAGAGTGCCGGGCGTGGAGGAGGGCACGCGTTCCATGTGTGTGCTGTTTGTTGTATCTCATGCGCTGCCTCTGTACCGCCTCTGTACCGCCTCCTGTACCGCCTCCTGTACCGCAGACCAGGACGCCGAGGTCGACTTCCTGCTCAACGCCGCCCACATCCAGCTGCACCGCCGCGCCAGGGCGCTGGCCCGCCTGGCCCGCCTGCTGCGCCGCGGCGGCGAGGCGCAGCAGCAGGCGCCGGCGGCGCTGGGCTTGGGCACGCTGGTGGGTGTGGTGCAGCCGCTGCTGCTGCAGATGATAGTGGAGGGGAAGGGCGGCGCGGCGGAGGAGGGCGGGCACGAGCAGAAGCAGGCGGATCTGGACCGAGGCGCCAACGTGACGGATGCGGCGGTGGTGGCGCTGGGCGTGGTGGCGGCGGCGCTGCCCTGGGTGCAGTACCAGCAGCTGCTGGGCCAGCACCTGCGCCTCGTCAAGAAGCACGCAGGTGGGCGGTACGGGCAAGGGTACCAGCAGCTTCTGCCGGCATTACTAGCAGCTGCTGCCGCCGGGCCTTCCCGACGGCCTGCTGGCTTGCCGCAGCAGGCACACCGCCACCACCAGGCACGCATGCACATGCCCATGGTGGCGCTCATTGCTGCGCTGCAGACGACGACGCGTGCAAGGCGATAATCCGCTCGGTGTGCGTCATCATCGACGCTTTCCACTTCCCGCTGCCCGCTGACGTGGAGGAGGAGGGGGCGGCTGAGCCTGCGCCAGCCGCGCAGCCTGCGGCAGCAGCGGTGGACGGGGAGGTGGCAGGCGAGCCAGCCGCAGAAGAGGAGGAGGAGGGCGAGGAGGAGATGGCGGCGGCAGAGGCGGCGGCGGCAGCTGGCGAGGTGTACCGCATGCTGTCGCAGCGTGTAGTGCCTGAGCTGCAGCGCATCATGGTGGACAAGGAGACGGTGCGGGCGCCCGTGGCGCTGGCAGGTGCGCCATGCTGCGGCAGCAGGGATGAGAGGGGAGCAGCGCTTGGCACATCGCTCGCACCGCACTGGTTGCAGCAACCTGGCCCTCACCCACGTCCCCCCGCTGCTGCCTGCACTGCCCCGACCTCACCCGTCGCGTTGCTCCCTGCGCCCCAGCCTCACCAGCCCCTCCCCGCGCCCCTCCCTGTGCCCCCTCCCCTCCCCCCCCAGTCGTCAAGGTCCTGAAGCTGCTGCCGGCGGCGGCCATGCGCCTGCAGCTGCCCCGCACCCTGCAGAAGGTTGCCAACCTGCTGAAGCACCGCATGCAGAGCTCCAGGTGTGGCCGAGCACACCTGTGTAGGGCCGGGCTTGGCGGCAGGGTGGGGCAGAGCTCCAAGCGCATGCTGCCCCACCTGCCTCCACGCTGTGT